AAATTCTTTTAGTCAAACTTCTTCTGAAGGTAGTACAACCTAATCTGATGTACCTATTAAAGTCTACTTTAAGCTTTAAATCAATAAATCTTCAAAACTACTGAACTGAAGCTCATGTATTTTACATCATTATAAAGGGAATTGAAAGACCTTTAAAATAAGGTATCACTCGACCCCCCTTTCCATTTAAGATTTTAGGGTTGGTATCACCCCCGCCCAGGGAGCTGCACGTGTTAACGTGATTTTTTGCCAAACTTGTGTCCCCCTCGAAAACAAAATCGACGGGTCTGAACGTTTCTCCAAAAAAAAAAACTAGGCTGCCAGTAAATGCGTCTGTTTCGTTTTCGATGCGCCACCCTGTATAGTCTGGGTGGTCACCTGTTGAATATCACGATGAAAGAAAATCTTCGCACAATAAGTACAAATGTCTCTATTACTTCCCATACCTATACCGTATAAATAGTGGAAGATATGTACACGTAAATGCATGTCTTAGACACCAGAGAGCATGAGCGTCCTCAGAAAGAGTCTTACTGAAGTGATGCCGGAAAAAAATATTAGGAACGATTACGGAGATTTGCTTTCGTTGTTTCTAATTACTTTAGGTTCGAGCATAATGAAGAACAATTATTAGAAAGCTCCAAATTTTTGATCCTACAGCAAGACTAACATGTCAAGCTAGTGATAGTCAAACAGGATTTGTGCGCCAAAGGTTTTCATTTTGTATGGAAAGAAAATTTGAAAATAGACATCCACTTGACACTATTTCTTTTTGTGTTTTCGGAATTTTCTGTCGGTGGACACAGTACCTAGTTTGATAATATTTAGATATACAATTACTTTTAATTTCGAAAGTCTTCATCCAGATGTTGCTGTTATGATCAGGAACCCTGGTCTTGAACAAGGGAGTAGATTCACTAAGAGAAATTGGGTTCTCTTCCCTGAGGAATGATATTAAATTCTGACAGCAGTTGACATTTATCAAAAATATTTAATAATGCATTCATTTTCGGCAAAAAAACAACGTTTCTCTGTTCTTCATATCACTAAACGTTCCATTGTAAAGTTAACTTAGTTTTTAGTTCTTCATATCACTAAACGTTCCATTGTAAAGTTAACTTAGTTTTTAGTGATAAAATTGATATACGAGGTCTGTAAATTAAGTAATGAGATATTTTTTAAATTTCTTATTCAAATATAATTAAAATTTTGTATTGTTACCTTCTCCCTTCTGAATTGCGACACTGGACTAGCCTTCAGCTAGTCGGTTACTGCCATTTGAATGTTTTCAACTGCCCCAAAATGAGTTATCTTAGGGTGACTTTCCAAGAGAAAAAAGTCACAAGGACACCCAGTTGTTCTTGGTCTAATGACCGGTAGTGGGAGTCCAATTTACCTCTTCCTTGATCATTCTGTCTATCAACCGAGGATCTGAACGCATAAGATCTGGGATTCTATCGATATTTTCATAAGTTCTCGAAGACGAAGACCTTGCGCATCGTGGTTCATCTTCAGTTGACTCTCGCCCTTCTGAAAACACTTTAAACCACCGAAAAACCTATGATCTTGACAAAACACTATCTCCGTAGGCCTGTTGAGCAAGAGTCTCCGTTGCTTGAAATTGATGTAACTCATTGTTAGAACACAAAAAGTCGCTACGGACAACCAAATGACTCAAGCGAGTTCAAACTTGTACTGAAGGCAGACCACATGTTCCCCTATCTCCCTTCCAAGCCCGGCGCCTCCAGTGTTGCCAGATCGAACGCTACGTTGCCAGTTTCATCACATCGACACTTCTTCTTCCGATAATGATTCCAGGAGAAGCTACTCTATTAGTGTTGAAGAATACACTTTCCAAGAAGTTAAGAGAACCACGCCTTTCTCTCAGTTATTCTATTCCATCATTTCAAGAACTGGCTTCCTGAAGTGCCAAAAATAGGAACCATGCTACTATCGCCCAACCATGCGATCTGAGCAACTGAGGATTCGGTCCTTGAAAATCTATAGTTTTAGCCTAAAAACGTGAGATTGTGGATAACTCTTAAAACGGCTGGCCCCATTGTAAAGTGGGGAGTGCGTATCGCTGATACGGCTAATATATACGAGCCCCTTCCCACTTCAGTTGGCCCAACTATTGAAATCTTAGCTTTTTTCTTATCAAACACAAATAATAAAAATGTAGCAGGGTGTTATAGGTTTAAAATATTAACAATGAATATTTTGATAATATATAGTAGAAAACACCAACTTTATCACTCCCTAATCAAATTTGCAGCATAAAAATAACACATGTTGCTATTACAGCATATCAACCTATTTTCATTTCAATGCAAAATAAGTCTATAACGCATAGGTGGCTGTGAAAAATAAAAGCCATGACAATTGTTTTTATTAATCACAGCTGTCAGAATACGTTTAAAATAGTTTTGGGTAGTTAAGGTTTTCAAAATGGGTAGAGGAATGGTTATTAGTGAGAAAATTCGGTTACTGATAATTAAATTTTTTAATTCTGGGAAATCAAACTCAGAAATTGCAACTTTGTTAGACTTATCGCGGTACAGTGTGAGAAATATTGTTAGAAGATATAACGTAACTGGTTCAGTTAACATTAAGCCACGATATGTGAAAAAAAGTAATATCACAAATGCCGACCGAAGAGCATTAAGAAGGATATTCCTCAAAAACAGGCGTGCCAATTATTTACAATTAAGTGCTCTGTGGGTGACGCTGTTGGAAGGAGAATTTCGAGGTCCACAACTCATAGAGAGGCCCACAAACTGGGATTTAGCACTTGCAAGGTAAGTTTTCTTATAAAAAAAGTGAAGTAAAAACCCTAAAGTTGCACAACTTGTTTATAGGCCAAAGAAAAGCCACTATTAACTCCACTGCAAAAGAATAATCGGCTTAGATGGGCTAAAGAACATAGACAATGGACACCTTAACAATGGTGTGCAATACAATGGAGTGATGAGACTCGATTCGAAGTTTGTGTTGGTGACAGTCGCAGTAGAGTTATTCGCAAAAAATGCATTCCATGTTGACTGTTTGAAGAGAAAAGTGAAATTTCCAGCGTTCATTATGGTCTGGGGCAGTATGTCATCGAAAGGAGTAGGAAAACTTCATTTTATTGATGGAAATGTGGATACAAACAAATATTTGTCAATTTTAGAAGAATCGCTTTTACCAGTGATGGAAGAATTTTTGACATCCGGCCAAGATTTTGTGTTTCAGCAAGATGGTGCAGCGTGCCACACCTCAAAAAAGGCTATAAAATGGATGGAAGAAAATAACGTACCACTTTTGAAATAAGTTTTTTTAGCAGTCCAGATCTATCACCTATTCACATATATCACAGATGTTCTATTAGTTATAGGTCTAAGTGATTTCAATTATGTATTTTTTACGACTAGAGTGTATTTAAAATGTTTTTGAAAAAATAAATTGTTTTAGAAGTAAATAGTTTCATCATGTCTAGGCATATTTTGGTACAAATCTTGAAGTGGGCCAACTGAAGTGGGAAGGGGCTCGTACGTTTCTACGCCCCTGACCATTACTGTAGCTTCTGTACCCCTGTATTTGGGCTTTACCTTCGTTGCTGAATGAGCATGAAAATTAAAATATAGGCCTGGGGATCGTTTGACCAAAAGATGAGCTATTTCCCCACTCTGCGCCGCCCACGCTATATAATATTTCACAGCCCCCTGTTGGAGTAAAACATGCATAATTAAAAAAGCGTTTCTATTTTTTCTGTCGTCGCACGCGACTGAAATATTAATCGGCGTTGTGCTAGTGAACTCGGCAGTATCACGGTTTTGTTATTATTCAAAACCACGTAATCCGTAGCACGGCGTTTGTTTGTATGTATGTGGAGTGCATTATGATTTGCGATGAAAAGTTAATGATACTACACGCAACGTATCATCTCATCGATCCCATCGGTCCTCAGATATTCTTTTGATCTCCCTCCCTTTTCAATACCTGTTGTTTACTAGACGTTGGCACCTCCATGTGAATTGTCTGGTTATACACACTTCGTCGGCGGTATTTTTAGATTTTTTATCTGAGCACTTCTTGCCACCATGTCAAGAGAATTCTCTGTTCAAGATTTCAAATTTGCGTAACACATCCAGTCACGTGAAGACGCTCTTGATACTACCAAACTTTCGATTACTATACTTACCATACAGCTAATGTTACTTCTAAGATGCCATGCAGATATAAGGCGTGCCCTAAATGAAAGATGTCCGATATCTACATGTCATATTTAAAAACTTCCGACCTGCCCCCAAGAAGCTCAAATGGTTTTTGGTACTATTATGAAGAATAAGATAAAATTCCCTTCGATACTCTTTCAATGTACCCAGTACCTGTTACTAAGCTTTAGATCAGAGTTCCCCAAACTTTTTTGTGTCGTAGACCCCTTGCCATGTTTTTCCGTGTTGGGTAGACCCCCTACTTACCTGATATTGATTTCCTGTAAATTTCTAACTGTAGCGAAATTTAGTTATAAAAACTTAAAGTAAAAACACATGTTAATTTATACATTTATTATTTGAATTTAAATTACAACTACTCAAAATGAAATTTTGTATCTGTTATGTAAAATATACGTAACATTAAATAAACAGGTGTCTGGCCAATAAGTGCCCGCATTGGGAATAAGTGCCCGCATTGAAACAAAATAAGAGGGATTTTTAACTTAAAATAGTACAATAAGCGAGTTCGTTATTAATTATAACATAAACATATGTTCTACAATAATTTCACTGTTAGTTTGATTAAATTCCGCTTCTTATACGTTTAAGTTATCTAAAAATAGGCAAAAAATTAACGAATTTTAGTGTGTACCTATCCTTGAATTTTCAGAATAATTCAAAAAAGAAATATTTTCTATAAAGGGGGGTTCTTTAAACAAATCAATGCGGGCACTTATTCCCATTGCGGGCATTTATTGGTCAGACAAAAATAAACATAAAATAAACTATAAATAACATAACATAAGCAATAAGTCAATATTTTTAGTGAGAAGAACCTGGTGCTTTAATAATAAATTGTCAACATTTTGTAAGGGTCTTAAATCTCCTCGGCTAATGATGTCCAGTCTGTTTCTTCTTTTCGTTACGAGTTTGGTAACAGCGCTGAACCCCCTTTCCACTAGGTATGACAATGGAAAGGAAATTAAAAATTTCCTCGCTATATTCCATAATACGGGATAAGTAACGGGTAAGTTGTTTTGTAGCCAGAATTGCTGATATCCGTTTTTAAACTGAACCTCAAGTTCTTCGTTTGTACTTAGTTCAGTCAGTTCCTCTTTTATTATGACATTCGTTTCTTCTATGTCACCATATGGATTAATTATTCATGGTGGTATTACCATAGTCAAAATATCCTTAAACCTAGATTCAAAGTCTGAATAAAGGGCATTTAAATGTTGAACATGAGTTGAAACGTCGTCTTCCTGGCAGCTTGTCTGTGACAAATTGGGGAACTGAGAAAATTCGCCCCTTCCAATATTTTGCTTCATTAGTTTCACTCTGGCAAGAAACGCTGATAAGATGGACTTTGTTTTAATCAAATTTAAACTGTCGCCTTGTAATTGCAAATTAACCATATTAAATTTTGTAAGCAAATCTGTTAAATAGGCGATGTCTGTTTTCCTCTTCATTAAATTTTCTTTTAAAATTTTATCTTTAGTATCCAGAAATTCTAAAATAGTCTCAAAAAGTGCAAAAAATCTTGCCAAACATAAGTCTTTCGACAGCCAGCGTACTTCAGTGTGAAGGAGTAATTGATGAAAGTGTTCGTCATTTTCTTCACACAACTGCGCAAATAACCGCGTATTCAACGCGTTGCTTCGGATTCGGTTTACTGCATCAATGACTAAATGAAGTGATTAATGCAATCTAACACTCAAATTTTTAGCAACTAAATGTTGATGACGCAATGTATTGCTAACACCCCTACACATTTTGTTTTAAATAGCTTATAAATCCACGATAACGTCCAACCATGGCAGGTGCTCCATCTGTAGCTACTGATATTATATTTGATAAAGGAATTGCTTTTTCAATGAAGTAATCCTTCAAAACATGAAACATTGATTCACCTTTAGTGTCGGTTATCAAAGTTCTTGCGAAGAGCAGTTCTTCGTAGATTTCTTGATGCATAATAAAACGAACATATGCCAATAATAATGCTGCATTATCAGGTAAACTTGACTCGTCCAGTTGTATAGAGAAATGGGTTGTTTGCAAATAATTACATAAGAAGCTTTCAATATCAGAACTCATTTCATCAATACGTCTTTCAACAGTATTGTTGCTTAAGGGAATTCTTTTAATGATATCAGATGCAGGTTTGTGTAAAACAGTTTTTAAAACCTCTTCAACGGCTGGCAAAATTAACTTCTCTCCGATAGTATGCGGTTTTCCGGATTTTGCTATAAGTAACGAGATATTGTAAGACGCCAGCAAACCATCATCATTTCTTTGTGACGTCGAAGCGAACATTCTGTCCAGTGTAGGTCTCTTCTGAAATTTATCTTTGAGTGTTTGAAAGTATTTCAAATATTTCTCTGTTTTATCAGGGTGGCAGGAAACGAATAAACGTATTTGTCCCACATTCGTATTTATAGTGACGAATTGAACATGTCAGTGCAAGGTAGCGAAGCTCTGAGACTGCGACTCTCAGGTTTTTACAAGTTCAGAATGTATTGCGACCACAAAGCGAATACCAACATCCTACTACTTACACAATTTTATAAACATATATAATAAATTTTTTACTTCATAGGTACTTTTATAAATGATGTATATGTTTTGATATTATAAGATAGTATGATGTAAGTAAATAGGTACTATCAGTGTATGTGTTGAGATCCACTATCGTGGACCCCCATATTCATTTCATGGACCCCCAAATTTTTTTTCGCTGACGTAGACCCCTTGCAGGTTGTGATAGACCCCTAGGGGTCTATATAGACCACTTTGGGAATCAATGCTTTAGATCATCATTCCTATAAAAGCTTGGGACCTGCTGCACAGCCCATGTGATTTCTCAAAAGCAGCTTTGCAGATATAAAAAGTGTGAAAGGAGGTTCCATTTTTTCTTATCGTCATGGCGGAAAAGTATCGTGATGCTTTCAAATTTAAGTTACACATCTATGTAGTAGATTCATTCAGGAAGCTTAAGCCATTGTTTTTGATATTGGCCCACCTCATAGCGCTTGTGACTTTCTAGGAGCTTTGTAGATATTAAGTCAAATTCAAAGAGGTTTTATACCTGACGGTCACTTCTCCTAACCTTGGATCTAGCCCCCTAGAAGCTCATATATTCTTTTAATGTCCTCTTTCAATACATATTGCGTATCAGAAGATGACATCTCTGTGTGCATTATAAATAGTGTTTCAACATATTTTTATTGGAGATCTTCACATCATGATGGCGAAAAAGTATACGTTGAAGCTTTCAAGATTACGTTTCACATCTATGACGTAGGTTGTCTGAAGAATATCTTTACCAACTTCCGACCTAGACCCCAGAAACTCACTTTGTCAGTATTATGAAGAATTGAATAAGAAATTCCATCGGTCTTCAGATATTCTTTTGATGTCTTCTCCCAATACCTGTTATTTACTAGACGTTGACATCTCCATGTGCACCATGTCCATTGTCTAGGGATACACATTTGATAATTGATATTTTAACATTTTTTTAATTGACATTATTCTTACCATCATTGTGATGGAATATATGTTGAATATTTTAAGTTCACGTTACAAATCTATGATATAGGTCGAGGCTTATGCCATTGCTTTTGATACAACCAAACTTCAGATCACCATGACTATATAAGCTTTGGGTCCACCGTGTAGCCCAGGTCATTTCTTAGCTTTACAAATATAAAAAGTGTCCTAAATGCAAGGAGATCACACATTCAGGGAGTGATATGGAGAAGCTAGCAGCATTGCCAATAATATGACACAGGTTCTTTAATAGCGGTACACTTTGGGTCTATGGCATCTCTTAGAGTCTTAGAGGATTTGTAGATATAATTCAAATACCAATAGATACCAACTGCACCGTCCTTTCTTGAATCATTTCAACATGGACTCCTTGGATTTGAGAATTATCAAGAATTCGGTATTAACTTCATGATTTCGTAGATTGCCTATATCTACACTACTTAAAGTTTCCGTTCCTCCAGTTACGTTGCGCTCAATGTTTTTATCAGACTGTTCTTTCGGTCAATAAATACTTGTTTGTTTTGTTTGTTTAACCGTCTTTGCAAGGAAGAAGCCTATTCATGTCAAAACATGCTGATTTGACAAAATAGAGACGTTTCCCCTTCTTAAAACAAGTCGAAGGCAAGACAAGCAAAAGTTAAACGTTGTCGACCAATTTGCTACATGAATACCTGCACAGTCCAACCACAGACTAAACATCGTACCAATAATTTTTTTTTGAAAAAAAGGCATAGTAGGCTTCACCAATCTTTCGTGTTCTCCTTTTGTTCATCCAACAGCACGCCATGTTGTTACATCGGCCACAAAACAAGTAAAACTTCATACCGTAAAAAATCTAATAGTACGTCAAGAGTATCCGTTACCAGACTACACGCATATTAAATCAATATATTTTCGAAGCATGTTATTTTGGCAACAATGTTATTACAAGCCAGTATAATATAGAGAAAAGATAATTATATTCACAAAAACTGACAGCTTGTTATGCATATGTCAGGCTGTGTATACGTATAAAATAAATACATGAGCTTTATTTTATATGTGAAGTAGCAAAAAATCCGAGCCGGGAAAGTAGATGTGTGGACAAAACCTTATATTATTTGTTGCCAGGGCCGTAATATCTATACTTAGAAAGCTTTAAGATTCAATTTGTGCATAATGTAGACTATGTATCAACAACATATCAATCAAAACCTGCGCATTCAGTTCAAAATTAATCAGTTTTGGAGATGAAAGATATTTGGAGTTTTTAAAGAAAACGAAATGTCAACTTCAACTCTGCAAGTACAACCACTCTAATGGTGTTTATTAGTTAGCTCCATACAAATCTAAACAAGAAGCATAGGTACTCACGGGGGGTAATCCGACCTCCAAACGTTGCATATTCAGCATATGTACAATATATGGTATATTTGTTTATAAGTTGCTTCATCAATATTTTATCTTCCCTTTTCCTAGGTTATTGCCCATCACAAGTGTCAAAGGTAGACACTTTTGCTGGGTGTAGTCTAACATATAGGCAAGGCATAAATAACCGAGTACAATGGCTGGTACGAAAAATGGACTTATTGTTAGGTTTTCTAATACTATCGGTTATATTTGTATTGCCCTTTCTTCAAATTCTTCCCAATCCCTACAAATGAACGTGCATTATTTACAATTTTCTCCGATTTGTTGTGTCTAAAATCTCGTGAATAATGGCAACCAGCATGGACGTTCGAGGAAGAGTCGTTGCAGGTATGCTCCCAGTAATTCGATCAGATCATAACATTTGCATATTTAGCATGATTTTGTGTACAATTTTGGGGATTTTTGGGATTTGGCCACCCCTGAGAAGATTTGTTATCCCCGCCCTTCAAACAGTTTCTGTTTGCAATTTTCATAAAAAGTTACCTCTCGCCGATGATCACCCCGCCCCCTGAGAAAAATCATACGGACGCCTATGGCAACCAGCGTAACTCCCTGGAGGACTAGAAAAAGCTTCTCAGATCGTAGTGTTCGCAATTGAAATACAAAATTTTATATCAGCAGCAAAAACAAATTAACTGTTAAATGTGAAATTTTAGTCATCTGGTTTCTTTAACATTTATGATTACATCTTGTGGCCAGAACAAGAGATGAATCAAATTTTACGTTCTGAAAGACGGTCCTGCATCCACATTTCCACAAAGCCCTCATACACGCTTCCCCGATAATAGTAGGTTGAAGAACTGATAAAAAAACATTACGAAGACCAACAGAAGAAGAAGAATAGCCTGAGCGCGCAGCGGCATCTGTTGTTGCATTTAATTGCATGGTAGTCAACAATAAGCTACTATTTATACGTAATGATACCTTCTCTAATTCACCAAAATACTCCTTTTAATTCGAGTTTAATTCAATTTTAAGGATATACCAATGGATCTTGTATTTATTCAAATAGCACTACTTGGCTGATCTAGATAAAACAACACATCATCAATGTGTTGTTTCTTTACCAAAAATGAAAATTGAAATATAAATATAGGGATGAGTGAACATAGGTCTGATTTATAGACTTTTAATTATCTCATAGTTTATTTTTCTATAATAGAAGCAACATATAATATTCTGAGCTTTCTTTATATAATTTTATGAGCTACGCAAAATTAGATTTGTACAAATAGCTTTACCCTAAGTATTGTATAGATAGGTTAGATAATGAGAAGTGTATCATAGCTACATATAAATCAGGTTTCTCTCAGTCAGCTTTTAAATTTTTCTGATACATGCAGAGGAAGCATGGTTATGTTTGAGTAATTTTCACTTCTGAGAT